AATTTTAGTCCTTAAAACAAAAAAATGTCTCTTAACCTCTCAATTTATGTGAATTAACGGTCCATTTTTGTTAATAACATCAAAGTAGTTGTGTAAAATAATTTAAAAAATCGCAAAGAGGTAATCAAATTTCAAAGGAACAAATTATTGATATGATCATAAAAATCATGGTACAGTCATTGCATATTATTAATTATTAAAGTGTTCTTGAACCCGAGCACAACAGATGTGGTTTGCACAACCACAGCCGAGGCACTAGCCATGGACAAAATTGTCATTTACGCAAACCACCCCTCGAACGAGTTCTTCAAGCAGTTCCCCAACTGCCGGACGTACGACGACCCAGGAGGCTTCGTCAGGGAAACGCGCAAGGCACTAGAAGATGAGCCGGACCCACTCACGGACGAGTGGATGGATTGTTGTGTGCAGGGTATGCAATATAAGTATATAATTTTATTATTTAATATTTAATAATTAATAATTATGCAATGAATGTATCATGATTTTTACGATCAGGTCAATAATTTGTTCCTTTGTTACATCTTTTCGATGTTTTAAATTATTTTACACAACTACTTTGATGTTATTAACAAAAATGGACCGTTAATTCACAGAAATTGAGGTTAAGGGACTATATTTTTTTTTTATTTTTTTTTTGTTTTTAGGACTAAAATTGGGCACCAAAACATAATAGAGACTACATTTTTTTATTTTTAGGACTAAAATTGGGCACCCAAACATAAAAGGGACTACATTTTTTGTTTTAAGGACTAAAATTTGACACCAAAACATAATAGGGACTATATTTTTTTTGTTTTAAGGACTAAAATTGGGCACCAAAACATAATAGGGACTACATTTTTGTTTTAAGGACTAAAATTGGGCACCAAAACATAATAGGGACTACATTTTTCTGTTTTAAGGACTAAAATTGGGCAACAAAAAATAATAGAGACTCGGTCTGGATACCCCTAAACATGGAGGACCAAAAGTGGACTTTTCCCTTTTTTTTAGATTTTTTGTTATTTGTTGGTTTTTTTAATTATATCACATTTAATAATAATTATTATTTAAAAGTGTGAGAGTATGACATGTTTATTCACGATATAAAAAAAAATATTTTTTTTGTTCATTTTTATTTGTGAAGCTAGTATGTTTTTTTTTTCTCAGAAACGATAGAAATTTTATATAAGGGCACAAATGTGTAATAATACAACCACCAGCTGACAACACGCAGCCACGAGCTAAATAAACATGAGAGGACAGGATGAATCCCGCCTAGAAACGACCATAACAGGTTAATAACCACGCAACACAAAGACACAACACTAAAACGACCCCAACAGGGTAATGCCCGGGTGTGTGGTCTCAATACGGTAATAAGTTTACACTCGGGCAGAATGAGGCCAACGACCCAAACTTAAACACAACGACTAACATAAACACCAACACAAACGACAAAAACAAGAACAATAAAATCCAAAAAATACGAGAACAAAAAAACAACTACACCCTAACAACACAGCCTCCCTCAGCAGATAAATC